CCTGGCCCCGGGGGAGCAGCTCCCCAGATGTGCGGTGCAGCGGCGGGGGCCCCCCTGGCCCCGGGGGAGCAGCTCCCCAGATGTGCGGTGCAGCGGCGGGGGCCCCCCTGGCCCCGGGGGAGCAGCTCCCCAGATGTGCGGTGCAGCGGCGGGGGCCCCCCTGGCCCCGGGGGAGCAGCTCCCCAGATGTGCGGTGCAGCGGCGGGGGCCCCCCTGGCCCCGGGGGAGCAGCTCCCCAGATGTGCGGTGCAGCGGCGGGGGCCCCCCTGGCCCCGGGGGAGCAGCTCCCCAGATGTGCGGTGCAGCGGCGGGGGCCCCCCTGGCCCCGGGGGAGCAGCTCCCCAGATGTGCGGTGCAGCGGCGGGGGCCCCCCTGGCCCCGGGGGAGCAGCTCCCCAGATGTGCGGTGCAGCGGCGGGGGCCCCCCTGGCCCCGGGGGAGCAGCTCCCCAGATGTGCGGTGCAGCGGCGGGGGCCCCCCTGGCCCCGGGGGAGCAGCTCCCCAGATGTGCGGTGCAGCGGCGGGGGCCCCCCTGGCCCCGGGGGAGCAGCTCCCCAGATGTGCGGTGCAGCGGCGGGGGCCCCCCTGGCCCCGGGGGAGCAGCTCCCCAGATGTGCGGTGCAGCGGCGGGGGCCCCCCTGGCCCCGGGGGAGCAGCTCCCCAGATGTGCGGTGCAGCGGCGGGGGCCCCCCTGGCCCCGGGGGAGCAGCTCCCCAGATGTGCGGTGCAGCGGCGGGGGCCCCCCTGGCCCCGGGGGAGCAGCTCCCCAGATGTGCGGTGCAGCGGCGGGGGCCCCCCTGGCCCCGGGGGAGCAGCTCCCCAGATGTGCGGTGCAGCGGCGGGGGCCCCCCTGGCCCCGGGGGAGCAGCTCCCCAGATGTGCGGTGCAGCGGCGGGGGCCCCCCTGGCCCCGGGGGAGCAGCTCCCCAGATGTGCGGTGCAGCGGCGGGGGCCCCCCTGGCCCCGGGGGAGCAGCTCCCCAGATGTGCGGTGCAGCGGCGGGGGCCCCCCTGGCCCCGGGGGAGCAGCTCCCCAGATGTGCGGTGCAGCGGCGGGGGCCCCCCTGGCCCCGGGGGAGCAGCTCCCCAGATGTGCGGTGCAGCGGCGGGGGCCCCCCTGGCCCCGGGGGAGCAGCTCCCCAGATGTGCGGTGCAGCGGCGGGGGCCCCCCTGGCCCCGGGGGAGCAGCTCCCCAGATGTGCGGTGCAGCGGCGGGGGCCCCCCTGGCCCCGGGGGAGCAGCTCCCCAGATGTGCGGTGCAGCGGCGGGGGCCCCCCTGGCCCCGGGGGAGCAGCTCCCCAGATGTGCGGTGCAGCGGCGGGGGCCCCCCTGGCCCCGGGGGAGCAGCTCCCCAGATGTGCGGTGCAGCGGCGGGGGCCCCCCTGGCCCCGGGGGAGCAGCTCCCCAGATGTGCGGTGCAGCGGCGGGGGCCCCCCTGGCCCCGGGGGAGCAGCTCCCCAGATGTGCGGTGCAGCGGCGGGGGCCCCCCTGGCCCCGGGGGAGCAGCTCCCCAGATGTGCGGTGCAGCGGCGGGGGCCCCCCTGGCCCCGGGGGAGCAGCTCCCCAGATGTGCGGTGCAGCGGCGGGGGCCCCCCTGGCCCCGGGGGAGCAGCTCCCCAGATGTGCGGTGCAGCGGCGGGGGCCCCCCTGGCCCCGGGGGAGCAGCTCCCCAGATGTGCGGTGCAGCGGCGGGGGCCCCCCTGGCCCCGGGGGAGCAGCTCCCCAGATGTGCGGTGCAGCGGCGGGGGCCCCCCTGGCCCCGGGGGAGCAGCTCCCCAGATGTGCGGTGCAGCGGCGGGGGCCCCCCTGGCCCCGGGGGAGCAGCTCCCCAGATGTGCGGTGCAGCGGCGGGGGCCCCCCTGGCCCCGGGGGAGCAGCTCCCCAGATGTGCGGTGCAGCGGCGGGGGCCCCCCTGGCCCCGGGGGAGCAGCTCCCCAGATGTGCGGTGCAGCGGCGGGGGCCCCCCTGGCCCCGGGGGAGCAGCTCCCCAGATGTGCGGTGCAGCGGCGGGGGCCCCCCTGGCCCCGGGGGAGCAGCTCCCCAGATGTGCGGTGCAGCGGCGGGGGCCCCCCTGGCCCCGGGGGAGCAGCTCCCCAGATGTGCGGTGCAGCGGCGGGGGCCCCCCTGGCCCCGGGGGAGCAGCTCCCCAGATGTGCGGTGCAGCGGCGGGGGCCCCCCTGGCCCCGGGGGAGCAGCTCCCCAGATGTGCGGTGCAGCGGCGGGGGCCCCCCTGGCCCCGGGGGAGCAGCTCCCCAGATGTGCGGTGCAGCGGCGGGGGCCCCCCTGGCCCCGGGGGAGCAGCTCCCCAGATGTGCGGTGCAGCGGCGGGGGCCCCCCTGGCCCCGGGGGAGCAGCTCCCCAGATGTGCGGTGCAGCGGCGGGGGCCCCCCTGGCCCCGGGGGAGCAGCTCCCCAGATGTGCGGTGCAGCGGCGGGGGCCCCCCTGGCCCCGGGGGAGCAGCTCCCCAGATGTGCGGTGCAGCGGCGGGGGCCCCCCTGGCCCCGGGGGAGCAGCTCCCCAGATGTGCGGTGCAGCGGCGGGGGCCCCCCTGGCCCCGGGGGAGCAGCTCCCCAGATGTGCGGTGCAGCGGCGGGGGCCCCCCTGGCCCCGGGGGAGCAGCTCCCCAGATGTGCGGTGCAGCGGCGGGGGCCCCCCTGGCCCCGGGGGAGCAGCTCCCCAGATGTGCGGTGCAGCGGCGGGGGCCCCCCTGGCCCCGGGGGAGCAGCTCCCCAGATGTGCGGTGCAGCGGCGGGGGCCCCCCTGGCCCCGGGGGAGCAGCTCCCCAGATGTGCGGTGCAGCGGCGGGGGCCCCCCTGGCCCCGGGGGAGCAGCTCCCCAGATGTGCGGTGCAGCGGCGGGGGCCCCCCTGGCCCCGGGGGAGCAGCTCCCCAGATGTGCGGTGCAGCGGCGGGGGCCCCCCTGGCCCCGGGGGAGCAGCTCCCCAGATGTGCGGTGCAGCGGCGGGGGCCCCCCTGGCCCCGGGGGGGCAGCTCCCCCGATGTGCTGTGCAGCGGCGGGTCAGTGCGAAGTGCGTCTCGGATCTGCCTGACGCTGCGGCAGGGTGGACGTCGTATGCAGAACTGCACACGTATCAGAGCTGCCCATCTACCTGCCGTAGCACCAAGGGATGGATCTCTGATGACCGCAACTGACCAGGGCCTCAATTTTCTACCCAAGAAATTAGGGCATCGGCCCCCAGGCCGGCTGGCCACGCCCCGTGCAGAAAGTGCAAGCCCCCGTCTCCGCCTCTCCTCACATCCCGGCAGCCCTCAGTGCCCCCTGCCCCTGCCGTTGAGGCCTGTGTGTGTCGCAGCGATTGTAGCGCCAGGCGGGACCCCGCCCACAGTCAGGCAAACAGCCTGGCAGATTCCGGTGTCCGGGCCGGAGAGAGTCCCAACCTGCCAGGCAGCCCCCTGCTCCCTGGTGGGACAGATCCTGGGCCGGCTTTGCCCAGCCCCGCCCCCCACCTCTTCCCAGCCTGCCCCACCCGTCTCCTCCCTCCACAGGGCAGCAAGGGGCAGCCCTGGCTCCCATGGGCACTGGGCCTCACCCCCTGCTCACGAGGGGATCTCCCAGGCCGTAGCCGCAGCGAGGGATCTGAATGGGAGAGGAAAGGAAAGCGCAGGGAAGGGCGGCTTTGCCCCTTGCTTGACAGCTGTTTGCACCCCGGGCGTCTCCGACCAGCGAGAGCTTCTTCACTCTCCTGTCGCCCCAGCACAAGCCAGCTGTGCCCTGGCTGCTCAGCCCCGGCCGGGCCGGCGCGAGGAGGAGCAAGAGCCTTGGGTCATGGGCCACCTTGGCTTTGGAAGGGAGGAGACAGAACTGAACTGGCCCTGGAAGAAGGATTCCCTAGCACACGTGTAATGGGCATGAAGGGACACACACTCACACTCACACTCTGCTACCGGCTGAGACAGCCAATGATTTAAGGACAATTCCTGTCTCCACCAAGCAGCCCTGGAGGAATCGACGCCAGGGAGGCGCTTTTGGCTCGTTACGGGGAAGGCTGGATGTTGTCAAGGGCCAATGTTCAAGACCAGACGTAGCCGGCTGCTCAGCACGTGGCTGCCCCGCATCTGAAGCCCCTTGGCTCGCCAGGGCCTGGCCCAGCTCAGCTGCCCTGGGCAAAGGGACTGAGATCGCTGGGGAGCCCAGGCTCTGAAGCTGCAGAGGGGGTCTGAGCCCCTACCTCTGCCCAGCTATGCTGAGGTCGCAGCCTGAGCCCTGGGCGAACGACAGGCCCCTGTGCACTCGGCCCGCGTTGGGAGCGGTTTGCTGGTGAGTGCTGGCGGAACGACACCGTTTCCATCCGCCACGGCCTGAGCCCTCGGAGGGGGCCTGGAACGCTCAGCTGCTGCACGCGGAGGCGTGGTGCCTGTTTTGCCCTGCAGTGCTCAGAAATGCCCCCTCCACTGCTCCCCCTGCATCTCCAGCACTCGCATTGCAAACCCCCAGAGCGACAGGGCCAGCAGCAGGCGCTCTGCAGGGGGAGGTCAGACCCCACCCCCAGCCGATGGAGGAGAACCCTCATTGGTTTCATCCCAGGCTCAAACACCAGAGCGTGGCTAGTGCCTGCCCAGGAGGGTCACCGTCCCCTGCAGAAATGGAAGATCATGAACCACTGTAAATAAACGACAGAGCAACAGGCGGGGAGCCCAGTGTAAAACGCGTCCTATTCAGGAAGGGCACTTAGCACATGCGCTTAGAATTCAGCAAGGGCTTCGAGCAATAGGAGTGAAACGTGTTTCTGTCCTGGGCTTCGAATGGTTCATAAGACTGAGCTGTGCTATGCAAATAGTCGGACTGAGGAGTATCGTGAACAGTCAGATACTGAATATCCATCCCTAGCTAGCTGGCTCCTTTTCTCCACGTTGACCTCCCCGGGACACGCTTTCTTCCGGGTTTAATCCATGTGCCATGATTTACCAAATGCAGGAGTCCCTGACAGCTGGTCCCTCCTGGCCCCAGGGGAGGCGGGGCGGCACCGGCAGCAGCTCAGGAAGCAAACTTGTGGGGAGCAGTTTTCAGTCGGGGCTTTCACCGCTGCTAATGTGGAACTTCTCCCCGTCCTGCTGAGACAGAATAAAGCGCCGTGAGGCCCCGCTCCGCCTGATAATCACCAAGCTTGGGGAGTCCAGAGCTGCCCCATCGGTCTGAGCCAGCCTCTTACTATTGGGGGTCAGAAGGGAAATTTCCCATTTCTGCCACCTGCAGAGTTTCTGTGTGCGGGAGCCGCTGGCATGGGGCAGTGCTGCAGCACGGCTCCCCTGCCCGCAGCCTGCCTCCAGTGCCCCGCTAGCGGCAGGGCCCAGGCAAGAGAAGCAAGGATCTGCCACACAGCAGCTGTGACAGGCTCGGTGCTCATGAGTGAGGGCCATGTGGAGTGACAGGTTCCCCAGCCCTGATCCTCCCTGTGCAAAGTCCCCAGAGAAGCCACACCCACCACGGGGCTCCTGGGGGCCTCTCGGGAAGTGGTGCATGAAGCCCACGCCAAGCAGTGATACACCAGGAGCAACCCGCTTGATCCCTGTGCCAGCCCAGGCCTCCAGCGGGCCAGGAGGGACCAGCTCGCCTGTGCTGCTCCGCCGGCCGGAGGAAGGGGACGCTAACTCTGGCAGGGGCATAAATAATTCCCAGGGCCCGCTGGGCACAGTGACCGGAGAACAGTGAAGGGGCCGCAGCTGGGTTCGGTGGCATGGAAACGGGCTAGGACGTCCTCGGTGTTTGCTCCTGTTCTCTTTTGATGGCTGCCACCTCGGGTCTTGATTTATCTGTCTGACACGGATCCGTTGTGCAGGCCCTGAGACGACATAACTCCACTCTGGTGGGGGAGCCTTTGTCACAATGTTTTAGACAAAACGGGGGGGTTGTGTCAACGGGGCCTTGTTAAAAATTATTCTTTAAGAAAGTAATTTTCGAGGAAAAGAGTGGGGGGGGCTGAAAGCCCCCAGAACGGGAAGTTTGGTGTTGCTGACAGCAGACCCCATTTGAACAAAATCAGAAAGAAATATTTGGTTTTGCTTTGTCAGTGTTTCGTGTTTCCCACCCAGCTCCCGATGCCGGGTACGGAGGCTGGATTGAGTGATCCCAGAGGGTTTTCAAACCACTACAGCAGAGTTTCCCAGCCAGGTTCCGCAGAACCCTGGGGTTCCGCAGACCATCGCCAGGAGTTCTGCGAGAAATCGTGGAATAAATAAAGAATTTTTCTTCTTTACAATATAAGCTGACATATCTATACAGCAGCTCTTTACAAATACATTTTTCTGGACAATAATTTAGCAGTAATTGAATTGCGCTCCCCTCTGTCAACTTTTTCTGGCTCAGCAAACGTTTTCATAGGTAGGGGTTCCTCAGAATATGGAAAATTATTTTAGGGGTTCCTCCATGGGAAAAGGTTGGGAATCTCTGCATTACAGTATGAATCAGGACCACTGGGGCAGGGCAGGTGACGGGAGGGCGTATCTTATGGTTAAGCGCCTGGACAGCAGCTCAGGAGCTCTGGTTCAGCTATGAACCCTTCTGTGAGCTTAGCAAGTCCCTGCAGCTCCGTGCCTCAGACACCCCTCTGTTTGGCGCTTAGACTTTGTTCCTTTGTCAGTCGTGAGCGCGTCAGGGCCGAGCCTGGCTCCCGCTAAGGGACTGGGCAGCCCCTGGCAGCGAGGGTCGCAAGGGGACAATAATACGATGATCGTGGGGGGCTAGATTCTCAGCTGGTACTCCTGGAGCTTTGCCACCCCCCGCCCCACGCCCCACGCTGGCATGGATGCTCCTTTCTCCAGCTTACCCTGACGTGCTTGCTGTAGGAGAACTGCACAAACGTATCCTGTAGATACTGGGTGCCAAAGCCCATGATCCTGTTCACCGCGTGGTTACAGATGCCAGCCACCTTGGCAGTTAAGTGCACCGCGAATGCAAATTGTAGCTCTTCCGGAGACATCTCCGGCCCTTGGGCTGTCACTTCCTTGCGGACATAGACATCCGCCAGGTGCTTGAAGGAGCTGTAGGAGATCTCTTGGAAGAACGTGGTGAGACTTGTGTCTTCTCTTATCTGTTTCCAAGGGAAGCCAGTCGCACGCGCATTCGTTAATATAAAACGTATCCCTTCAGCTGGGCGTCCCCGCCAGCCTCACAAGGTGAGCCCCCGCCTTCCCGCCATTTCGATCCCTTCCTGCCAGTCCCCAGACACACCTCTCCTCGCCTGGATCCGCCCTACACACAAAGCCAGCGCAAGGCCAGTCTGGTTTGGGGCCTTCGTGGTGTGCAGCCTTTGCACTGTCACATCCCCTTAGACCGGCCGTGGGCCTCCTAGACTAGCGAGTGGGCCAAGGAAGCAGCCGCCTCCACCGCACTGGGCCACAAGATCGTCGTAACCACGCTGGTGTCCCGGACAGGGCAGCTTGGCTCAGCGCTGGCGGACCTAGAACTGTGCCGACTGCGCTGCGATCGGCTGCAGAGGGAGCGGCCGGCTCTCGCAGTCAGTGCTGGGTGCAATCACCCCCACCCCACCCATCGCCTGGCCTGGCTCCACATGTGCCACGTGAGTAACAGTGGTAGGGAAACAACGACATGGACGGAAACCACAAGCCCCCCCTTACCTGCTCATCCAAGTGGTCCCCAGTGCTCTTGAGCAAGGCAACGATTTTTCTTATGATGGCTTCTTCTGCAGACGGATAAACACAAATTACTCCCAGGCTCTCAGACAGGCTCTTCTGCGAGCCCCAGCCACAGGGGCTAGGTTCCAATGCAGGCACTGAGAAGCTATTTTCCAAAAAGGGCAAGTGCAGCAGACAGTCCCCCTCGTGTTCCCGACGGTGTGAGCCTCAAGCCCAGCACACGCTCTACAAAAGCACCTCCTGGCAGGGCTGGGAAACTTGGCCGCCCAAGCACTTGGCTTACTGGTCACAAGGGCACCACTTATGGGGGGCAAGGGGCAGCCACCCAGGAGAGATTCCAATGTGCCCAGCTGATTAGCAGAGCCCACAGCTGACTGCATGTGTTTCTACTGGTGGTGCACATCCACACATATCTTGATGCACAGAACAAAATTTATTCTGCACAAAAGTAGAGGGAACATTTCTCATGACTGTACAGGTCCTGGAACTAGGTGATACTGACCGGATTCAGGCGTGCCAGCAGGTCTTGATGGCCCTTGGTAACTCTGCTTCCTGTTTCCTTTGGATTCATTGCCCTGGATTATCTGTTGGATCTCTTCTGAGACTTGTGTGCAGTAAAGCTCTCGCTCTCCCCTGACTGCAAAGACAAGAGGACGAGGTTTTTAACTGGGGTGACCTTGCTGACTGAGAGGGATTGTCAGACATGCCATGCTCCAATAGCCACTGCTGCACAGACAATCATTGAGCTTTGCCAACCCATGCTGAAAATGTACCAGCTGCTCCTTAAAGGCTATGTGCCAGCCCAGTAGCAGGGTGAGCACCAGTGTTGCCTGGAAGCTGAGCATGTGGACAGCCACCCAGGAGAGATTCAGGTCCTGCCTACCTGATTAGCAGCATGTGTTTCTGCTGGTGGTGCACATCCACACATGCCTGGGTGCACAGAACAAAATTTATTCTGCACAAGAATAGAACATTAGAAAGAGCTGTCTGACAGCCCCGTAACTCCCACTGAAAGTCATTTTAAGCCAGTGGGAGTAAGGCCAGGTCCACACCAGATACTTCTGCCAGTAAAATAATGTGAGTTTGGGGGGTGAGTCTTTACAGCTTCATACTGGCAAACACCCCTCACACAGACACAGCTTTCCTGGCAAAAAAGTCCTGTTCCCAGTATGGCTTGTTTTGTGCAGACAGCCAGTCTCAGTGGCACCAGCCCAAGAATTCTTTTGCCAGGACAAGCTGCATCTCCACCAGGCCTGTCTACACAAGCAAACCCTCTCCAGGGAAGACAAGGTCCTTGGCATCTGTGGGGCCTCTGAAAATCTCCCTTATGTCTCACCCTCAGTCATGCTTCTCACCATGAATCCCACATTCAGAGTTGGCCCTTAGTGCCCGCAGGGAACACGGAACTAGTTAGCTAGCAATGTTCTCCGCTCCCACCTGACGATGGCCGGTGACTGTTCCGCAGTGGAAGAAAGCTGGGCCTCTTTGCTTTCATCCCTGCTTCCATCCCCGCTTTCTTCTCCTCCTCCGCGGTGTGTTTCTTAAAGGAGAAAGCTCTCTTGAGGCTGGATCTCTTTTTACTGGGTTTCCCAGGCTGCAGCGATGCACTGGAGTTTACTCCAATTCTTGTAGCCACTTCTGCCTCCGTGCCAGTAGGAGCCCCCTGCAAGCTGGCTTCTTTTTCCTTTGTCTTTTTACAGGCGTGTTCTTTATGATCATCAGTGTTTTTCTGGAAGAAGAAATTCAGCAGCGCCTTGATCCAAGGGTGTTGGGTTTTCCCTGGGGGCAAGCTCTTCAAACCTTTTCCTTTTGGCTTCTGCTCCTCTTCGGTAGCATTCCCACAAGCCAACGGTTTGCTCTGCACACTGGCAGCATCTGCTGGCCTTGCTGCCCTGGCTCTGTCGGCTTGGCCCTTCCTCGTGACTAACCTGGAACCGGAGTACTCGTAGAAATCACTTGCTGCTCGCCGGAGCTTCCTCGTCCTCTTCCCCTGCACGCCCTTGGCCTCCTCCACCCTCTTCTTAGCAGCCAGGGAATCCTCACAGTTGCTCAGCGTGCGCTTGACATACATTTCCAGCACCTTCTTCGCTTCCTTCCTGTCCAGCGACAGGAACTTTCCCCTCGAGTGGCTCTCGCTTTCTCCTGGCTTGTTCCTCGGGATTTCCATGGCTCAGACCCTACAACAGAGGAAGCCGCGCAGCTGGATTAGACAGCAGATGTAAACCAGTTGGCAGTTTGGCCCTCTGATGCCGCTGGTCAGAGACCAACCGTCTTTATTACGGTTACGCAGACAAACTCTTAGTGGGGTCGTACGCGTCCCTGGTGCCACGTTGACACACGCTCCGATCCGGGGTATGGATCGGAAAGAAAGGCCTGCGCGGAGGCAGGATGCTTTTCAACTCAAGCCGCTCCCTGGGGGCTGGGTCGCAGGCCAGGCTGCTCTCCGGACACAGGAGTATCAACCAAATACCATGGTGTGAAGCGCTAACAAACCAGCACGGCCACAGTGAAAGGCACCTGCCCAGGTTCTGCCTGGTTCCCAGCCCCGAGGATGCCGCGCACGCCGACACCGCTCCCCAAAGCCATTTCCCAGACAGCTCCTGTTCAGCCTGTGCCTTGATCCCCAGCCTCGCCGCTGGCCACTGCCACGGGGGGTCTCAGGCCACTTCCTGGTGGGTGGGGTCTCTACGCAGCAGAACTCATAGGCCAGCACTGAGCCATTGGGTCTGGGCTCCCAGCTTTCCCCGGAAGGGGGTCCCTGCAGCATGAGGGCTGGGAGCAGTGATCACCGAGCTGTGTGACTGCCTAAAACCCGACCTCCCCCTGGCTCTGCTTGGGCAGCGCCATTCCCTTACAGCGGAGGGCGAAACTCAGCCCATGCAGGGATTCCACACAGCACCAGGGCACCTCGCCTCACGTGCTCTGTGCTGGCTCCCTCTGCCTTACCTACAAGGTCAAAGTCCCCGGGGCTGAGCGGAGGGTCAGGCCTGAGCTCTGCTTTCCTAGCACGGGGCGCAAAACCCAAGATCGCACGGAAAAGCTGCGCTAAAGTAGCAGCACAACAGTGCAAACCGAGCGTGACCCCCGCCGACTGCTAGCCCGGCCCCCGTGCAGGTTTGCACTCGGAGCTGGAGCCCAAGGCTGTGAGCCCTCCCCACAGAACTGCCTCTAGCACAGGGAGAGGGGCTATGGAGCCACCGGCAACTCTGGAAGCACCAATCAATCCCCCGGGGAATTATCTCGCCCGCCAGCTCAAAGCCAGGGCGGTTTGTTTCTATTGATTCTGAGCCATTGCAGGCAAATCATCTTTAGTCGCATTGATTGTATTTACCTTGCCGCTCGTAACCCTGCCTTGCTCGGCCTGTCTCTAGACAGGTGCCTTAGCCACAGCGCGCTAATGAGAATAGCGCTCCCCGGAACCTGGGCCGTTCTTTTTATGCCGGCACCAGCTGCACGTCACGCAGGTGCTTATTTTTAGCAGCCACTCAGGTAGCAGGACGGTTACAGCACCTGCAGCTGGCGTGTCAGCCAGCACCTCTGCCTGTGCGTTCCTGCCCGCGGTCGAGAGGGAAGTCCATGTTTGGTGAGTTTCACTAGAGAGAAAACTTCCTTATTCCGAGCAAGCACGAAAGCAACAACAACTTCATAAGCCCCAGATACAATCCCTGCCGCCGGGGCACTAAGGGCACTTGGCAGCCTGGTGATCTGCTGATCAGGATGTTTGGTTCTTTGCCCCATTGGCCGGAGTGGTGAGTCAGTCTTGGGCCCTGCCAGGGCCTTTCCAGACATGAGTGATACGAGGTGAAATCCAGCTGGGTTACCAGCACGGAAACATGCTTCCCTGAAACGGTGGCCTGGTGGCCTTTTCAGAAATCTGAGTCTGCCCCTGCAGTGAGTAACATGCTCCTCAGAAGCTCTCTCTCTGGTCCTCCTCTAAGGGTCACTGGCTTATTGGCTGGGGGCCACTCTCACCCAGCGAGCTGCAAGCAATCCGTCCCCGAGGCCCTGTGCTATGCGCTCAGTGCCAAGGAAACCGCTCTGCCACGTGGCCCGTGGGCTTGGGCTTCCTCTGCTTTCCAGCCATCACAACACAAAGGGCATTTGTAATCACTCCTTCCCCTTTAGCCTGAAGGGAAGACGGTTCGCATGGGCCTCAGCTTTAACCAGGCCTGTCACTGCGGAGCAGAGATGCCATTTCCATCGTCTAGCACAACCACATTCCAGGAGGCCAGCCTTAAACAGGAAAGCAACTGTCCCCAGAGTGGGAGCCGGCAGTGAGGCGCGTTTGGCCCTACGGCTCTTGTGGCACGGATCTGGCTCAGGGTTAAGTGAAGACCGGTGAAGTCTCTCTAATGCTGCTGACGGGCTTTGGATCAGGCCCTTAAGGAAGGGGTACAGATGTGGTCGCTTCATCTCAAAAAAGATATACTGGCATTAGAAAAGGTTCAGAGAAGGGCAACTAAAATGGTGAGGGGGTTGGAACGGGTCCCATATGAGGGGAGATTAAAGAGATGGGGACTTTTCAGCTTGGAAAAGAGGAGACTAAGGGGGGATATGATAGAGGTCTATAAAATCATGAGTGATGTGGAGAAAGTGAATAAGGAAAAGCTATTTACTTGTTCCCATAATATAAGAACTAGGGGTCACCAAATGAAACTAACGGGCAGCAGGTTTAAAACAATTAAAAGGAAGTTCTTCTTCACACCGCGCATAGCCAACCTGTGGAACTCCTTGCCTGAGGAGGTTGTGAAGGCTAGAACTATAACAGGGTTTAAAAGAGACCTAGATAAATTCATGGAGGTTAAGTCCATTAATGGCTATTAGCCAGGGGGTAAGGAATGGTGTCCCCAGCCTCTGTTTGTCAGAGGGTAGAGATGGATGGCAGGGGAGAGATCGCTTGATCATTACCTGTTCGGTTCCCTCCCTCTGGGGCACCTGGCATTGGCCACTGTTGGCAGACAGGACACTGAGCTGTATGGACCTTTGGTCTGACCCAGTCTGGCCATTCTTATGTTATGTTCTTATTATCCTGGACTCCTCATGTGTGCGAAATGTTCATCATTTCTCTTGGGCTGAAGGCGCCTGTACCAACATGTAAATAACAATGTTAGGTCTCAGTTCTGCAACCCAGCCTGCTCTTACAGACCCCCACGCTGTAGCTGACAGGAGCGGGGCTATGCCAACATGGCTGTTCCTTGAGCCCTCCCTACATCCCCTGCTGGAGCATTTTCTATGGGACAGGTCCCTCAGATGGGCCACTTGCAGGCTGCAGCAAATGGATTTATTTGTATCAAGGCAAAACATATTGGGACTTTTGGGGCTTTTTGTTTCAGTTGCTTTCGCTCCCCTGGTTCAGGCTGCACCTCTCTGGTCTGGCAGCATCCGTGGTCTGGCATGATTTGAGTGAGCTGGGTGTCTGCTTAGCATGGGAGTGGCCAAGTTTCCCACAGTCCTATAAGGTTTGCTACAGCCACCAGGCCTGGCTCTCAGTGCTCTGTGCTGTTCTTTAGCTCTAATTTACCCCCAAATGTCATTTCCGAGCCCAGTAAGGGTGCGTCTACACAGGACCCAAACCAAGCTAGGCAAATTGCACAGCTTATTTCGAGTCTGTTTCCAAGTAAAGGGCTGTTTTGAGCCACCCCTCACTGCTCGTAGAATGAGGTCTACAGGGATGGCGAAATAGTGCGTCCGCTATATTTCAAAGTAGCAGATGCATTCAAAAGACGCGGGTAGCTATTTCGGGACACCTCTAGTATCCCAGAACACAAGTGCAGAGTAGCCATGGTGATGCTGCTAGACAATCTCGACCTCTTGTGGTTCGGCAAATTCTCTCGTTCGGCGCCGGTCCGGTCCCGAGGGGGCCGCCCTAGAGACGTTCAGCCTAGAACCCCTCTCGGTGAAGGCAGCTCCATTGCTGAGACCAAGAGCGTACACCAGGGGTGTCCAAACTTTTTTCAAAGAGGGCCAGATTTGATGAAGTGAACATGCGTGAGGGCCGACCATTTTGCCTGACATTCTTTGAACCATTAAAATTAAATGCAAATTAACTATTTTATGCAAAGTTTATTGCAAACGGCATACTTTTCATTTCGTCACATGGATGACAAATCTAAACAGGTGTTAAATCACTCTGCCTTTCATATCTGAAGGCCAGATGAAAAAAAAAATCCAGGAAGCTGAAATATATGTCAGGAACATTGTAAAGTACATTACATATTATTGGTAATAAAGGTTGTCTGTCAACTTTTAAGTTCAAAAAATATGAACAGGAACATAACACCAAGTATACATGTTGTGTCCAAATATATTTATAACTGATTTAGACCAACTGACTTTAACTGAGATTTTACAATGTATTCATCTCAATACATATGGATTCATTGGGGGCCATAAAAGATAGATATTGCCAAATTACCCGATGTTGTGTCCAAATATATTTTTAACTGATTTAGAGCAACTGACATTAACTGAGATTTTACAATGTATTCATCTCAACTGGAAAAAAAACTTGCCTGCACTAATGTGAAGGGTGAAACTGAGATCTGGACTGCAGCACATAGGCTAGGTCTGGTTCAAAGACAGTGGTTTTGATGCGCAAAATGTCACGCAGGTGAGAGTCACTCAGTCTTGTCCTCACGTGGTTCTTGTTAAAGTTCATAGCAGAGAATGTCTTCTCACACACATGTTGAGCCAAACAAGCTCAGCATTTTCTTAGCCAATGTTCGAATCTCTTGAACCCGGCTCTTATCCAGTTGGCGGTAAAAGTTCACAAGAGAGAGCTGTTGGTGACGACTGCGTAACTCGCTGTCACAATGCAGCTCAATGAGCTCGAGCTGCAGCTGATCTGGAGCATCATCGGGGTCAACAGAGAATGGAGAGGAGAAAAGGCTGACCTCCTTTCAATAGCTGCAAAATCCTGAAAGCGCGGTTTAAACTCCCCAGCCAGAGATGCGATCTCTGCTGAATACCTGCTCGTTTGCGCACTGATATTGTCCTGTGGAAAAATGTTCATTATTTCCTGCAACGCTGAAAAATGTATGGTATTGGGCTGTGTTTGTGACAACTGCCTTATGAAAAGTTGCAGCTTTGTCCCAAAGGCTTTGAGGTGTGAATAAAGCTGGTTCACCGCTGCATCTTTC